CATAATATATTGAAGAGAATGTTGCCTACATTTTCTCCCAGTGGTGCACCCCACATTTTAAAGAATTGTAATATCCACAGGAAAACGATATATCTCTTTAAGTATATTATTATTTTGGCAAGCATCATATAACACTTATATCATGCGATATAAAAACACATGGACTATAAAAAATAAACGTCACAAACATTCCTGTAAATTAATAATGATAAATACATATTGTATGTTATGCAACGTGAAAATATTCTGGAGGAACGTTGAGTTCAATAGATCGTAAAATTCTTGCATCTATTTGTACATAGTTACGTGAAAACTAAGCAACATCTTCTACAATAATTATTATTTAACTATACAGCAACCATATCTTAAAATTGTTATCTACATCGCCAGCAAAAGATCTGCTACTTTCAAAATATTGAGAACTGTGCATCTTTTTTTTTAACCAGTTTATTTCAACCAGTCTATTCCCTAATAACATTCAACTACTTAGTTCTGTTAACAATGTCTATGGATATATACTAAAGTGAACGGGCATGAATAAAATCAGCGATCCATATTGTGCATAAAAGTTTAGGTGACTTTGCGTAATGTTTTTTACAAGTAAACTTAACATCACTTATATCTATATAATTACTACCTACTGGTCATATTTCATGCACAATACAAACACATACTTTGTCGAATTCCTGTAAGAAAGTATGTGTCTGTACATTTATTTTTTAATTTAGATTAGCAACGATTAATTTCTACGATAAAAAAATTAAGAACAGAACGTCACTGATAAATAACGAAAGTTCAAATAAGTGTTAATATTCCTGCCATGACAGCAAAACTCGTACCAGTTACTGTACATTGTACATCATATTTTAAATGTCTCAATTATTAGCCAAAATCTGTCATGATAAAACAGTGATTATATAGCTATAACATACAAAATATGCAATAAAACATCAGCTACGAATAAACCAATACTATTGGTGAATGGTGAATTTACTGTTCTGTGTCATCTATAACTTAAAAGGTTTTTACTGCTTCGCATTTTCAGGCATTTATTTTTTACTCGAAGTTTACGCAACCATGTGATTTACATTTTTCTATATTTTGGGACCTTCTCATTTGAAAAACAAAATTCCAGTTACTATTATTTGCTGAATTACATAGCACTTATTATTGAACTTCTTAAGTTTTAAATGACACATGTATTTTAATGTGCTTCAATCTCAATTCCATTAAAATGTTTGTAGTATTAAAATGTATATAATGTAAACATATTCCACTATCAAGTGGCTTAATAATACAATATAGTTTGGAATATAACATCGTTTATTAAAAATTTCCTAAAATTGTTCCCAATTTAAAAATATCTTGGACTCTCTATAGAATACAAAGTAGTAGAAATTGCATTTAATTTTATTGACAATGCAGTAGCAACAAAAAACAATACAAATATAAAAACGAAAATAGAATGTTATTATATAACAAATATCAAACAATTATGAATATCATTCTTCTTTCAATGTCGTTTTAGCTCGTTTTTGCATTATCCAAAAGTAAAGTGATGGCCACAACGTTCGTAAATACATTGCACCCTTCGGAAGAAATGGACTTATTACCAAGTCCTTTTCTTCTTTTAATACTGCTTTTAAAATACAATCTGCCACATATTCTGGTGAATACCCTTGTTGTGTTGCTTTGTCCATTACTGTAACAATATTTATTTCTTATAAATATTCATTTGTCTTATTAAAAATAAGTTTCTTATTACTGACCTCCATAAACTTGTCCAGATCCTGTTAAAGCATTCAAGGACATAGCAGTTTTAATATAACCAGGACTAGCAACTATAACTTTTATATTTTTCTCAGCTAATTCTGCTCTACAACTATCGCACCAGGCTTGTAATGCATGTTTGGAAGCTGCATATGCAGACCTAGCACATAAATTAAAAAGTGCTTAGTATATTTATAAATATATATACATCTGGACAAATATAAATGTAAAATATTCCAACCTGTATGGGATTGCAATTTTTCCTTGTATGCTACTAACGCATACTATGTAACCTGACTGCTGTTGTATCATGTATGGAAGTACAGCTGTAAAATTATATATTTTTTAATCATGTTTCACTAAATTGTTTAAAATGAATAATTACCTTTGGCCAAAGCTATTTGAGCAAAATAGTTTGTAATCATTATTTTTATATCAACAAAAGAACTTCACCCCTGTGAGAAATACCAGCATTGTTAATTAGAATATCAACTTTTCCATAAATATCTACTATTTTTGCAATTTCACTTGGAATAGAGTTTATGTTAGTTATATCCAATGCTAAAACTGTAGGAGGATGCGTTGGCCCTGTCTGAAATTAAATTTAATAATAAGTATTTAAACATAGTAAAAGTTAGTTATGTTAAAAAATTGACATATACCTGGAGAGTTTTCAATAAAGAATTTTTCACTCTTTCCAGTTCTTCTTTTCTTCTAGAAATTAAGATCACTTTACAGCCACAGGAGTAAAAAACATGTGCTAATGCTTCCCCTAATCCAGAACTGGCCCCAGTAATTATTACAACCTGAAATGCAAGTTTTAAATTAATATCTATTTCAATTTCGACGCTATGATAACAAATAAATAAGATAATACTTACTTTCTCATTCAACATTCTCTTTCTCCTCTTCCGTTGCATAATATCAAAGAAATGATATATTAACCACGGGATAGTAATTGGGAATCCAAATAATTTGAATAACCACCATATAATTCGCCAACCCGTTAATGATTCCTCCTTCATGTCTTGATATTTTCAATAACGTTAATCAGAGGAAATTAATTATCTTGGCCCATTGATATCACGTTGTGCACGATAAAACCGATCAGAAGCGACCAGAGTCAGAAGCGATATTAAATACATTACATTTCAAGAAGCAAAGATCGAAAGTACAAGTTGGTACAAGTCGGAAGTGGAATTCCTTTGGCGTTAACTCACACATGAGAATCAGCGCTATTTGTGGACAAAATATGCAACATCATGTATGGTAATTATTTTATTAACCTTGTACCAAAATATAATTACATGTTGTATCACTATTTTCCCAGTGTGATATTTAAAACGCTAGCTAATTCTAAAGTGAAGCTAAGTAGTAGCATAGAGTTTTCACAAAAATGTTATATTTTGGCTTCACATGCATCCATTTTTAAGAATCATTGCTCAAATTAAAGCTAAAGGTCTCAAAAATATGGATAGTCTATTTAAAAAGATATAACATTATTATTTATAATAAAAATTCATATAAAGTAAGACTGTTCCAACAATTATAAGTAAAACTTTCAACTGCATCCTTTACTCCTGACTTGACCAGTCATGATCAAGCATCATGTGTGTAAGTACATACATGAACACATTTGAATCATGTAAACTGAAGAAGATTGTGTGGATACATAACCTCTATTTTGTCTGTGATTATATTTAAACAATAAAATGGATCATTTACATTCGCCAGATAATATTTTAAGCATAGAAGAAAGTTTAATTAACGAACCAGTCGTTCAGAAACGTCGCTCTTCTGTTTTCCAAAGCAAGTCGATCATACATAATGGAGCTGGAAGTTAGTCTATTGTTTACTTATTTTTTAATGAGCTAAGTTATATATTCATTTTAACAGTGCCATAAAATTAAATTTCTCATAATATATGTAATTTAATTTGACAAATAATCGTTAATACTTAAAGGTTTACAAGTCGCAGAGGATGATAGAACAGTTGGAAATTCAAGCAAAAATCCACAATTACAAGAGGAGACTTTTAATTTAGAAGAATATATAATATGTTTGAGAAATGAAAGAAAGGAATGGTTAGAGACTCTAAAAGAAAGGAAGAGGCAAAGAAGGGGTCTTATGAAGAAAAAATTATCTGTAGAAAGCCAAGGTCAGCATTTGGATTACAGTGTTTTAACGGAACATGAAAAAGCTTTTGTTTCTGCTAAGCCAAATTATCATGATATTTATAAAAACTATAAAAAGTTATCAGACATCAGTTTAAAAACCCAATTATTACGTTCTCTGGTCTATAAACTAAATCGAAACTTTATTTTGCAAATGGAAGGAAGGCTACAGGGAGCTACTAAGAAAATTATTAAAGAATCGGTGTCATGATACATAACCAGTATTAGTGAGTGCTATGATCTTTAGAATGAGCTGTGGCAATAAAAATATAATTTTGTAATGAAAATACTTATTAAAATAAATATATTTACATTTAAATGAAGTAAAATAAATGTTTAATTTTGTACAAAATTAATACAAAAATGTATTCTTGTACATATTTGTACTGGAAATGAGAAGAATTTTAGGCAAATGAAAGCATTAGATATTCTTTCAGTAGTCTTCTCTTTTTAGTATAAGAACTTTATGATCATTAAAACAATTGTAAAATTACACTGATACCGAAATAAATACTTGTTTCAATTCTCGACACATAAACACAATTAATGTTTCAAATATTTCAATATGGAATACAGAAACCAATCGAGTTGTCATCTGTGCAAGGTAAAGCTCTTTCGTATCACCGCTTTTCTTTCCTTCTGGAGTACTCTTAATAGATATTCTTTCCTGGATGTACTATTATGTAATTCCAATATATGATTTATTTTTCTTACAATCTCCTCAGCCGTTATCGAATCAGCTTCAAATTCATGATTCTTGAACGACACTGATTGATGTAGAGAGTGTGTCTGTCCGGATGATACTGTGAAAAAATAGTTTGTTATGAAACCGTTAAATAATTTTAATTTTAACAATATCAAAGCTAGTAACCTAAAGTGTTTTCAGAAGTGGAAGCATGCGGTGTATAGACTAATGTAAAAATTGTTTTTGATCCCTTCGTTTCTGTTATTTCACACCAGGCAATATTGTCTATTCGGTAACTGACAGCTCTTTGCCTGTTCCAAAAACGACCTGCACCTTTCCCAGTTATTATCGGATTGATTTCAATCTTCTCACCTGATATTCCAAGATATATTTCAGTCTTGGTTCTAACTTTATTAATTATGTATACCCTGTAAATTTTAGATAGACATCATTAACGAATCTCTGTAATATCATAAATACTAAATACCTATACGACTGATATAGCGGTGCTTCCATGGCAGTCGCGTGTCCTTCCATTTTTGCTAAGTCTTCAGCAACTTCTTGTTCTTCGTTTTTAACTTCTAAAAAAAGATCTGATTCCAACGACGCTTGCGACGTCTTAACCCAGCTGAACATGTTGTGCTGTGCCCTATCGCTTGGTTTCATCTCCGCAAGACCTAGAGTCGTAAACTCAAATTTAGATATTACTTCTCTAGGATCCAAGCACGGTAAGTCCCAGTCGACTTCTCCATCATCTTCGGTAAAGTATAGACCATATCTTGTAATATCCTCCCTGAAAACATTAACACATTGATATACTTCTGATTAAGCATACGTTACACAACAATTTATTTAAACAGTGCATACTTTAGAGGATGATATGGATGTTCATTTGCATACTTATAGCAAATTAGTCCAATGAATTCTATTACTTTAGCTGTAGCAAGTACAACTACTTGAAGGGGATACATTCTTTGTTTTTTAGGTAACATACACATGAATATCCTGTACTTCCTTGTAGGAATATCTACTTGCACCTGTAATAAAATTGATGACATTTGCCAATGTCGAGAAATTATCATAAAGCTCGATATAATTTGTCGATACATACACTGCCATCGAATTTAGCATATTGTATGTATGGATTTTGTGGTATATTTGGGCACTTTTCAAGTTGTTCAGATAAAAGGGAATGTTTCTTAGTTTCACCAGTCTTTTTACGAAAGTCTTTTCTTTGAAATAATTCTGATTGCTGAGAATTAGGTACAACAGGATCATCTCTCCACTTTACACTAACTTTAGCAGCCTTTTCTCTTTCAAGATCCATTTTCTCTAATCTCTGAGCAGTGTTAGTACGTTCTCTATGACTGTATTCCATATCTATACCGATGTTAAAATCATAGATCTGAGGCAATGATAATCATCTAAAATTACTTCTTCATTATTTATAAAAGAACATTTACCCATTTGTATGTCATAAGACTCTGCGAGAGCATCTAAATCTTCATCATCGCTCTCTTCTATGCCAGGATAACATTGCAACGTGCCATTTGATTTTAATTGCTTTGGTATGTCCTCTACAAGCATTACCATCTCACATTGGCCTTTGAGAAATGTAATGTTTTAGGATATTAAACTTTATTTCATATGACACATCAAAACTCAGAATGTAACCTACACATGTGTACCTGTATTGTCGGTTGATAAGAAACTATCCCTGATGTGTGACAAAAGCCAATGTTCATTATCGTAAAAAGCCATTTGTATTTGTTAACTATGCCAGAATCATAAATTATTTTCGAAACTCAGTAGCGTTGCTTTCTAAACGATTCGTTTAGATTTATATTACGTTTCCTGTGTAAACACAACGTTTAACGCATTTCCGGCAGGTGGCAGTATTCCTTACTCAAGTGACTACTCAAGTGAAGTAAAATGACATTGTTCGTCTCGATTTAATTAAGAACTTGGTTTTATACATTTTAATTCTTAGTTGTGATTGTAAGAAATTGTTTGAAAATGAGAAGAGTGAGAGTGTTAATTGAAATCAAGTTATATTTGTGCCGATATTTGATGAACAAGCAGCGTAGTCAGATAACAGCGATGACTTTTACAAATCTGACATTGAAAACGCGAGAGTAAGTAAATAGAAAATGTTCAGAATTGATTTGGTTATATTTTTATTGCATTTAGTCCCAGCACACCGAAACATGGGTGCGATGATTTTTCAACTTTTAAAATTCGAAATGTTCAAGTAATAAAAATATGTTATATTTAAGTTGCTATTTGATCAATGCGCGCCGTGATCAGACAGGCATTTTAACTTTTACGAAATTGGTGTGTTTTTTTACGTTTTTTTTTTATTTACGTTTTTTTACGTTTACGAAAACGTGAGTGTTAGAAATGTATTTTTCTTTTGCGAAATTCGAGGAGTTTACAAGTGGATTCTTTGTTCTTATCCGTTCTACAATTTTTCTTGTTTCCTCCACGTTTCACGTTGAGCGGCCGAGCGGACAAATCGAAGAAAGTAGTTCGGAAAGTAGAACGAGAAAAAGACGAGCAGTCTTGATTTTGGTTTCAGAATGGGGGATGGAACATTTAGCCCGAAGGGTTAGAGAAGGAAATACCTACAATGTATCTGGCAGGAGAAGAGCGTACGGCTCGTCTGGCGATGAGCAGAAAGGAAAGTGTGCCAGAATAGAAAAAAATGAAGCCGCGAATTAAACGGCTAGCCAGTGGCTTTCCATCTACGTAGTAACGTTCAACCATTCGTAAGCCCCAACAAGAAAGGACGATGCCTTCGTTTTTGTGGGAACACGGTGCCAACTGCCATAACGTCCGCCTCAATTTCGCTCCGATCGAAGACACGACAATCTCTTCTAAAATTGCTATGGATTTTCAAGTGACAAATGGGTTCCGAGTTGTGTCAACATTCTCAGCCAATGTAAGTATAAGCTGTTAGTATGTTCAGCTTTTTTAAAAGTGTCACAACTCACAAGTAGGATGGCTTTGCAAGAGTAAAAGATATACTTCAACTTGTATTATAAGCATTATTCTCCTTGTTCATAATCTTAATTAACGAAATATTAATTATGTTCTCCTTTTCTCTTGAAAAACGTACTTTTTTGTGTTGTGAGTTGTGTCACATTTGCAGCGAGTGTACGATAGTTGCATCAACCGGGTTTGAATTGTTGAAACTGGCTTCTAAAGTAACGCGAGGACCCTCGTCTGAAATCGGCGGGTGTCCTCGACGAACCGGACGAACAGAAGCTGCAGCGTAATAACCAACGGTATACACTACAAAGCCGACAATTAACCGTGGTAGCAGTCGGCGCAATTTGTCATTCTCTACGTTACCGCCGCGGAAAATATCACCGAGATTTTCCAGTAAAATATTACCGGAGGATTAACGCGATAACTCTCTGAAGGACGCGTGGTCAGTCGCGTTAAATACTTGAAATACGAGGCTCGCGTCGCGTCGATTCGATCAGCCGATGTTCGTCGCAGAAATAAAATTCTGCATTTGCACACGTTGTGTCTGTGAATGAAAAATGGAAAATATCGAGTTTATTGTTATTTCTTGATTACTTTATACATATTAGTTTTGACTTCTGCCTTTTTATGGGACAGTTTAATAATTCTTATTCTCTTTCAACAAAAATTATTTTGCAGTACAGAGAGTTTTTTATTTAAATCGAATTCATTTATTTATAACGAACCGCATAAAATTTTGCATTTACACACGTTGTGTCTATGGACGGAAAATGGAAAATATCGCGTTTGCGAAGAATGGGATGTATAAACTTTGACGTTCGAATCAATAATGAGACTCGTTCGTTCGGATATTTCTGTTGCATTTTGGAATATTTAACTCGTTACTTTTCGGCCAAGCTTAATATTGAAATGGCGGAAAAAGGTAGGAAACGAGACGTTACTTCTACGAATACTTTGTACGTGGTTCATCGAAGAAAGGGAAGTGAAGGAAGAGGGAAATCGCAAGGGAAAGAAGAAACATGGCACATTATGTATATACATACACACGCACCTATATATGTACATGTACACTGTTCGGATATCGTGTATACGTGCACTGTCGTACGAATGCTTCTCAGAATCTTGATATTACGATTCTCAAGCATCGCGCGGGAATGCCTCGACGCTTTTACGAATTTCCATACATGTATGGATGCCGAATGTATCTTCTTCTAATCTAGAGGATGAACACATAAAGCAAAGCCGGAATAAATTTCGCAATAAGCATTGAAACTACGAACACGATGCCTACTGCGAAATCTGCAAACGTTTTGTTTAAAAAGATCATTCGGGACCTATTGCTGTCTCATTTGGGACGCTGAAAAAGTTTCGTTTTAAAACATTAAACAAGATGTAGCTTGGTTCATGCGTACGGATAAGAACATCCGAAAAAAAATACGAAAAGGAAGTAATGTGTGGAACGTATCGCTGACGGATACGCTCGCGACAAGGGAAGTAGACGACAAAGAGGAAAGAGAAAGGTGGAAGAGAAGCTGGAAAAAGCCAGAGGCTGCAAAACGGTTGAATGAGAAACAATATGCAACGCTACCAACTTAGCAGGAGAAAACCAGTCGGCTACGAACACCGCCACCACCACCACCCACCCATCCCCTTTGCTACGCCTCGGGGCTTGGGGCTATTTGCAATTGTTCTTTCTCTTCTTCTATCCTGCCAAGCTGCGCCCATCCTTCTCCAGCTGATCTCCTCCTTCGCTTCGTCGAGAGAATCATCTCCCAGTTTTCTTTCTTTTTGCTTCTCCACACACACACATATATATATATTATTTTCCCATGGATCTCTGTTTATCAATCTCTCTTTCCCTCAGCGGGCTCTGTCCTCTTTCTCCGGGTCTCTGGCGTGTTCTCTTTGTCATTTTATCTCGCGCTCTTTCCGTCTCCGTCGTTTGTTTCTCTCTTGCTCCGCTGCGCTCCATAATAACGGGAGTCCCATTCAAAGTACAATAGCTGGTCATAAATTACCCTCGAAAACGGTAGCATTAGATCCTGCTGGATTCACCCTTTATACAAACCGGGCGTACGCTCGCTTAATTGAGCATCCTCGATAACGCGATACGATTTGGTATATACGTATGTGTGCATATAATTTATATACATATATGTATACTTCTGTTAAATTTTCAGCGTGGAAAATTACCAGCGCGTGCGAAACTGATCGGTAGATCCGCCGATTTTTCACGAAAAATATGTTGCGTCGTGTGACACGCTTTTTCATGCTCGTCTTATATTTTTACAAGCGTCGTCACCTCAATCCGCTTGAATTGTATTATAGAAACAGTTAGGTGGCTTGAATGGAAATGTAACAGGGTTTTCTGTCCAACTGCTCGAAAATTAGTGACGTGTGTATGAGATTAAAGCGAGCTTCGCATGCCTAGCTAATTGCAAACGTTGAGTCCAATTGCTGCGGCGATAATTCGAGAACGCGTGTACAACGTTTGGACGCAGGACCGATAAGTTCCTAACGAGCGAGACATCGATTTCCTCGTTTCCGATCCCCGTCGACGAGCATTACGCGAAATTATTTTATATTATTACTCATTTGCATCATAAATTGCCGGTCATAAATATTAATAAAAATTAACACAGTCATATAGCAATTGTTACATTGTTTAATACAATATTCGACACAATATACAATGCTATTGAGTAATATAATGATTCATATAATGGTTGACGCAGTAATTGATAGAATGTTCCATTTAATGATTTATGTAAGAATTGATAGCAAGATGAGAAAATTGATAGCAACATACAAAATTTCATACTGATTTATGACTATTTTAGTGGTAATAACCAGAAAAATTATAATCGCTGATGATGCGAATGGGTTAACGTGAAATACGAAAGCATCGCTTATTACTTAGCTACCACGTTGTGTCCAACTTGAATTATTAATCGTGATTTTCACTTGCCTCGCTTGAAATGTACCGAGTATTAGGCTACTTTTGTTTGAATCATTTTTGGGAACAGAGATATTCAATTTTGTTCACTCGAACAAAAATGTACGCATCGTTTCAATCAATATAATTTCATTTCTTCAGTTCTTCGCTAGTATTTCTGTTTAATGGATTTTAATCATTCTCTGAAAGGGATTTCTTGTTTTCAATTCCCACGACCTTCTTTTATTTGGATGATTCGAGATTCTGTTTGCGATTTGGTTATCGTGGACGGACTTATTGATATTGGTCGTACCGATAGGTGAATTTTGGCTTTCACAGACAGAGTGATACGGGTTATTCATTTCGCTGAAACGGTGAGCCATTCACTCATAGCGGGAGCGAAAGAAGCGCGCAAACGAAAGAGCGACGCGATCTTCGCGCGGAAACTTTCGAATCGGATTCCAGTTAAATTCTTAGGGGAGGATCGTCCGTGAAAGCAAAGAGAGTTCTTTCCTAGCCAAGGATCCTTCCAGCAAATCATTCCGTTCCGTAATCGAGCCGTTCCATTCCGAATTTCCTCTTTCTTGGCGTCCGACGACAAACGACAACAAACGGACTCTTTGACATCGGGAAAGCAATCTTAATCATTTTCACCTTTCCGCTTGTTATCGAACGCTACAGATTTTACCGTGAGATAGAATCTTGACAAAAATAATAAAAGATCGGACTCTCGATAATGTACAAAAATCTTTTTTAAGCACTACGATAACTTACAGTTTTACTTCAAGTTTAACTTGCGATAAGTTTCACTTAAGTCGTAACAAGTTTCTGACCGTTACAGGAAATTTTATCTTAAATGAAATCCTTGACTTTTTATATATTCCATTGTGGATGAAAACTCCATCTTCTAGTTCATCATTCTAACGTAGGTAGTCATACCGCGTGACTGAAAGTGACATTTGTCCGTACAAGTATGACGCGTACGAATATCTGTACGTACTTATACGAAAGAGGTTGGGGTTGGAAAGTTAAGGCGGATGCGAACGATCTCCTTAAAAAGTTTACCCGCCACGGGCAAATCTCTGGCGAGTTTACCGAGGGGAACTTTTCAACCAGCTGGCTGTACTTCCTTCGAAACCGTTATTCGAGTAGACAGCGAAATCGTTCGCAATCAGAGTTTCCTACTGTTTTCGATTACTCCCTATTATCCCTTACCTTCCACAGTTTCCACGCCCTCCGGATCTTAAACCCCGCGCGAAGCTCCCCTTCCCTTTGTTTGCATGCTTCATAACGCTAATTCGGCCCTCTCCCGCTATCGTAAATTATAGCTCGTCGAGAGGAGACTAAAGATCCATCCTCCAGATCTCGTTACCCGTTTCTACTTACCACTCTCTTACTCTTACACGACAAGAGAAAGAAAACAGTGAATCTCCGTTCTTGGAATCATCGTTTCTGCGTCACGTTCACGTCGTCTATCAAACGAAATATCCTTTGATCCTCTCGTTAACTCGGCGAGATGAGTTCTAGCGATTCTGGAAGAATGACGAACAAATTTTAGCCCTAATCGATATGACCGTTATTAACTTTTTGTAAGCTGAACAGAATTACCAATTATGATTAATAATGTTAAGATAGATTAAAGAGAGAAACATGATGAATCGACAATACGTGTTAGATCAATCGGTATGAGGTTGTAAATTCCTATAAAATTATGAAAGAATTTCGGCACCCTCGCCCGTGCGATTACAAAAGCGTCAGCCGTAATGGTTTTTCTCCTCGAATATTTATCTTGTAAAGCCGTGCCCCGCACCCTTAAACTTTTGCTCTAACGAAGTTTGTACAGCTTCTACCTCTCTCGGCCCCTACATTTTCTTTCTTGATACTTTAGAACGAGCCTGCCACCTCTATCCCATTACACTACGAGATTACGGTGTAGCCGGTGAAAAATATTTTATACCTGTTTCTTTTCTACCTATTCCACGTTCGCAGTTCCCAGTCTTAGCTCAGCTTTTTCT